CACACACACACACACACACAATCACAGACACACACACACTCACACACAGAAATACATACACACATATACACAGAGTCACAAACACACACACACACACACACACACACAAAAAAAAAAAAAAAAAAAAAAAAAAAAAAAAAAAAAAAAAATATATATATATATATATATATATATATATATATATATATATATATATATATAATATATATATATGTATATATAATAGGGCGAATTATGAAATAGATAAAAAAAAAACATTCTGACCCTATCCCACAAAAAAAAACACACCACAAAAAGTAGCCCCCCAAAAAAACAGCATCAGAACATACCTGGCGAAGGGATGCCTGACGACGGTGACCCTTACACTTTCATTCATCACCTTCAACTTCTCGGCATCTGAGGAGGGACTCGGGTAGAGCTTAAACACGACGTCATGTTTAGCTCCGTACTTCGCCTGGTGATAGTGACATGCGGTAAGTTGTGGTTATTGTTAAAAGAGGAGGACTAGGAGGAGGAGGAGGCGAGGAGGGGTGGTGGTGGTTGGGGGTGGAGGGGGAGGACGAGGACGAGGTGGAGGAGGTGGTGGTAGGGGTGGAGGTGGAGGAGGAGGAAGAGGAGGTGGGGGTAGAGGAGGAGGAAGAGGAGGTGGAGGAAGAGGAAGAGGAGGTGGAGGTGGAGGAGGAGGTGGAGGAGGAGGAAGAGGAGGTGGAGGTGGAAGAGGAGGTGAGGGGGAGGTGGTGCTTGTTGGGGGGGGGGGGGTGGAGGTGGTAGTACGGGAGGAGGAGAAAAAGGTGGAGGAAGGGAAGGGGGAGAGGGAGGAGGAAGAGGAGCAGGAGGAAGAGGAGTAGAAGGAGACGGAGAGGGAGGAGGAAAGGAGGAAGGTAATGATAATGACTGATGTGTTGTTGTTTGATAATAAAGATAGCAACAGTAATTTTGTTTAGTGGGATATATAATGGCAGAGTAAAATAATATTGATGCTTGTTTTTAAAAGGAAAGTGATTATGATTGTCATTTAAACACTTTCTCGTAGCAATAATGATATACAAACAAATGATAAACACAAATATAATTTATAAAGAAAACTATCTCTCACTTCTCCAGTAATTAATAAGAACCTTCCAATTAACAAACAAACACTCAAGATACTTACCATAAGCTGCATTTTCTCTCGCTTTGCTTTCGGTAAGTTATCGGGAATGGACGGATTGTCTTCATTATAGTGCGCTAACTTGAGGAAGTTCGACAGCCAAGTTGTTGAGGCTACCTGTAAAGGAATAGATGGGCGTGATTAGGAAGGAGAAGCAGGAGGAGGAGGTGGTTGGGGGGGGGGGGGGAGTGGTGGTGGTGGTGGAGGAGGAGGAGGAAGAGGAGGGAGGAAGTGGTGGGGGGGGGGGGTGATCGTGGTGGTGGAGGAGGAGGAGGGAGGAAGTGGTTGAGGGAGGGGGTAGCGGTGGAGGAAGAGAAGCAGGAGGAGGAGGTGGTTGGCGGGGAGGTGATGGTGGGGAGGAAGGAGGAGATGAAGGGGAGGAGGAAGAGGAGTAGAAGGAGACGGAGAGGGAGGAGGAAGGGGAGAAGAGAGTAAAGAAAAGGAAGAAGGAGGAGAAGGAAGAGGCTGAGGAGGTAAAGGGAATAGAGAGAGAAAGAGAGAGAGAGAGAGAGAGAGGGAGAGAGAGAGAGAGAGAGAGTGTGCGAGAGAGAGAGAGAGAGACTAAAAATATTCAAGGCATATCAACGGCCTTTTCTCAGAAAGAAATATTGGCATGGCTGATATAAACTATTTGCAACATCTGTGCAATTCATATATGATGAATTGTTTTGCTGAATTGGTAAGGTACGTAAGTTAAAATAAAGGAAGAAATCGTTAGTATATATTGTTATTTATTCTGACAAGGAACAATTAAACATAAATAATTCCAGAGAAGTAAAAATATTGAATTTTTAAAAATAGAGGTAGGGAAAATATTTCTTTTGAGAAAAAAAGAAATACAGATATGTGTCGTAATCATTTATAAAATGTATATAAGGTGACTACCGTGTTTATGGTAGAAACTTCAACGCCGACGTAGATAGTGATCATGAAATAATATTAGCCAGTATTGTGTATAATTCACTTTAATTATTAAGATTTGACTGTTTCATACATAGATGAGATAGACAAAGTATTATTGAACTTTTAAGTATACAGTCTATAAAATCACACTCCTTTTATGTAAAAATGTAATGGCCACTCATTACAGTCATGAATTATGAATACATTTTATTTTTTTCATCTGATCCTCATGGAGCCATTGAAACACCCGACTTAATAACCCCAGCTGTCAAGGTATGTACACCTCCATTATTATTGTTGACAATTATCATAGGATTTAATGACCCACAAAGATAACTATATCAATAAATGAATTGATCAAAATCAGTTAATCAATCAATAAATTAATTGATAAACAAAATTCCGAATCCTATTCCATATATTAATAATCAAAACGGCTCTGGTGAA